TCATTTATTGCCATTAATTTAGTTGGTACTTTAGGGACTGCATCAAAATGATGGCAGGAGCATTTGTAGGTGAGAGCGGAGACAGCAAGGGACGAGTGTGCAGACAGGCCAGGGACAGGCCTGCTGTGGGGAGGACGCCGGGCACTGGCAGCCAGGGAGAATTCAGGAGTCGGGGGCAGGCCGACGGTTGGTTAAGGTGTGGGGTGGGGCCGACCATCACGGCCAGGAGGGCAAGCCCCTGCATGAGTGTCAGACCACAGACGCCTAGCAAGGGGCCTGTGAAGGGCCACAGCCAGCCTTTAAGAATCAAGAAAGCATGAACCCTGGAAGCGCCATCTATCAGCAGTCAGGCTCCCAGGAGGCTGAAGGTGAGCAAAGTTCCCCAGGGCCCAAAACCCCCGCAAGACTTTGGGAGCTGAAGATCCGCCTCCCTTGGAAGCTGCCCCAGGGCTCCCTCCAGGTGGGAACCAGGGTCCCGCATGAGCCAAGAGAGATGGGGAAGCACAGGCAACACTTATTTAGAACATACCCTGAACTGGGTGTGGTGCTAAGGGCTGAAGATGAAAAGGTTACCAAGGCAATGGTCCCTACCCTCCAGGAGCTCATAAATAAACAGACTGGAAATCAAAATTTGGCCTCAAAATTAAGTTCAAAAGTCAAGAAGAGTCAACACTGGTGCTATGGTTCTAGGAGTAAGAATAGTGGTTGCCTCTGATGGGGGGTCGGTAGGACTGGCTGGAAGGAGCATGAAGGGAATTTCTTTTAAAACGAGTAGTACAGACAGGAACGGGATGTTTAGGCCAAGAGAACCTCAGGCTCAGGGCTTTGTACGTGCAAGGCGGCGTGGAGTCGTGGGAACCTGCCAACTGCTGAGTTTGGTTGGGATTTAGGGTGTGAGGTGATGGATATGAGATCAGGTGGTCAGAGCCTTATATGCCGTACGGAGGAGTCTAGACATGCCCTTACCAGCCATGGGTACCACTGACGATTTTCAGCCTCCTCCCCAAGTGGCTGAGACTGCCCTGCCTTGGAAGCTAGGGGTCCATTGGCCTGGGTGGGGAGAGAAAAGCAGGCTTCCCAAACTCCCATTCCCTCAGAGCTCCTCCCAGACAGGAGGGAGGAAAGAGGAAGAGAAGTGGGAGAAGCATAAACCAGCCATCAAAGTGAGCTGCACCCCGTGCTCTGAAGGATCATCGGGAAAAACAATTGTTTGATGTATCCAGCCCCTCTTTCCCGTCTTCAGGCGGGGATCTCTCTCTCTCTCCTTACCGAGCTGCCTCACGGTACGTGCGGCTCCTGCTGTTTTTATGTTCTATCAAACAGTGACATCCAGTTGTGCATCCTACATGCCTGAGAGCCTCTGCTGTATATAGGGAATTTCTAAATCTTTCTGCACCACCAAATTACAACTGGCTTTTCCTAGCTATTTCTCCCACGTGGAGCATCCTCCTTCCTACATGTCTGGCATGTTCCGGCTGTATTCCATCCTGCTCAAACCCCACTCTCTCCTCTTTCAATACTGCAGACCCTCCTGGGCTAACCTTCCTTTCTGGACTTCTGTTGCCACTCCTGTCAACAACTTCGGTTCACCCCTCCTTCCCTGCTGTGCTAGTTCCGTTTCCTCCGAGAGGAGGAAATAGAAGGTCATTAAACTCAGCGAAGAGCCTAAAAGTTGTGCGATTTCCCCACCGGCTAGGGAACATAATAAATTCTTAATAAATATTTATCAGTGGATCGATGATTGAATTGGGAACATCCAGATCCCTGTGGGGACCATCTGTGCCAAATCAGAAGTCAAGAAAGTGTATCCATTTCCCCTGACCCTTTTCAGGACATAAAGGTCTTCCGTGGCCTTCTGCTGAGGGGAGAGCATGGTGCTGGGGATGGGGAGGGCAGAGAGGCAGAGGCGGGTGGAGGGCCGTGTGGCTGGGATGTCATGGGATAGTTAATCCAGCTCCCGGATGACCCAGGCTGCGGAGCTGTGTCCCCACACCCTCCATGACAGACAGCACAGCTGTGCGGCGAGCGCTGGGCAAAAAACGAGGTCAGGTTCATGTCAAAGCCAGCGCGGTTCACAGGTGGGCTCCATTTGCTGGATTTATAGCAACTGTCGAGTCATTACTGGAATTGCAGACGTGAACCAGCCTACCTGCTGGGAAGAGAATTTGGGATACATTGTGAACTTCAAAAAGTTTCTGCCTGGAAACTGAAGAGGTAACCATGGCAACCGGGAAGGCAGGTTGAACTCAGAAAGGGCTCTTCCTCTTGAGCCCCGAGCTTTGTGCTCTTGGATTGGATGTGCCAGACTTCGAGCACTGCTTTGTCTCTCTTGCCTCTTTTGCTTTCTTTGTCGAGTGGGAGAGAGCACCAGCTCAGGAATCTGGAGAGCTGGGCACGATTCAGCTGTTTTCTGATCCAGGGCACTTAAGAGAGGGCACCTTACGCACTGGCTGTTTTGTTGTCTGCAAAATGGAAATTAAAAGGCTCCTCTGGCCTATTCACAGGGATGCAGATGGAACAGGAAGGTTTAGGGAAATTCTGTACATAATCACGATTATTATTGTTATGTGCCTATGTCTGGGCCGATTCCAACATGGTGCTCCTGAGGGCAAGACCGGGCATTCGATTCATCCATAGACTTGTTGTCGTCGCTTGAAGAGAAGCTGTCCCAGACACCAGCAGCTGAATAATACAATCATGCCCTGGAGCCTGAGCAGCACGGGTGAAAGAGAAGGCCTCACCTTAGCCGACCAACTCCTCCACAGAAGTCCTGCTGATGGCCGCGTGGGCTTATGGGAGAAACAGACGTTCAAAAGGCATCCTTCCATTGCCTGGCTGCACACCACAGCCCTTGTCCTCTCCCTGCCCCATGCCAATGCAGTCCTGCACTTGAGAGAAAGGAAGAACCGGAGATGGGTGGCGGGGGGGGGGGGAGCGGGGGGAGGCTGACATCTGGGATGATGCTGCCAATGTGTGAGCTGCTCGGCAACGGCCCCTGTTTACTAACCCACTGGGAGGCGGGGGGGAAGGATTGGACTCTACTCTTCAGAGTGCATTATGTTTTGACCAACTGGGTCATCTTCTGCAGGCCCTGGCTTACCCAGAGACTCTCCTTTGATAGATGACCCCACATGTTGCTCTGATTTGGGCCTCTTTTGCTCAACTGCTATCTCCAGGCCTTCCTGTCCCCTCCCCCTTTGTGGTTTCAACCTTTCGTTCCCCAACCAGGTTTTCTGGGCTGTCTCACTCACCTCTCACAGCTGGGGACCTCTTCTCCTCTTATATCTCTCTCTTCTGATCCTTTATTTCCAGGCCTTGCTGAGGAACAGCAACTCCTAGATGCCCCTCGTGAAATAAAAACCTAAATACCCAGACACACAAAAAACTACTTTTCCTTATTGTCTAGCAATTCCTGTGTCCCTTGTAAATAAATCTGAGAGCTAACATTTATTGAGTGCTAACTATGTGTTCAGCACTGATCTAAGCACCTTGTTGGGGGTGCTACGGTACACCACCAACATCCCCTATTTGGGACCTCGGCCCTCATTCTCCAGCCTATTGTCTGCTGTAGGCTGCCAGCACAGTCCCTCTGGCCTTAACAGAGGGGGTGGCCTTGCTTAAGATTAGGCCACGTTCTTGGGGGCAATCACATTCAATGAATTGTCAATGTGGTACAAAGGCCCTGGGGCCAACTGTGGTCTCTGTTGCAGCAACCTGGCATTTAACTCCTTCCTCTGAGCAACACTGTTTCCCTCAATCCCTCTCTGGTCTGAGAACTCTCCCTAGCAAGGCTCTGCCTCAGGGGAACTGTGTTTCCTGTCTCCTGGGGAACTCAAACTAAGAACTTACCTAATCCTCACATCTTTATGAAATAGGTGTATCATATTTTCATCTTAGAGAAAAGGAAACTGAGGCACAGAAAGGTTAAGGAGCTTGCCCAAGGTCTCCTATCAGTAAGTGGTGGAGCCATGATTCGAAACCTGGAAATCCAGCTCTGGATTCCACACTCTAAACCTCACACGCAGCCTCATTAATAGCAATCCCAAGGGGGAACTGAGGGGCCACGGTGGGAGGCGAGGGGTGCTGTAAGGCCTTTATGGGAAGGTGAGGAGAGAGGGAGGGTATTTCTTACCTTGACCTTAGAGATAAGGACACTGAACTAGGGGCTGCTTAAACCCAGGATCATTCATCACTTTACAGAGGTGTGGGGATTCTAATTTTGGCTGGGAGGGCAATGGAAAAAGCATGGTAAATTCGTATTTGAATTCTGGCGTAACACTAATTGTGTAACGTTGAGCAAATTAATTAACCTGACACAGTAAAAATGCCTGGCTCACAGATGCTCAATAAAGAGCCCCGCCCCGCCCCCACCCCACCCCGGGCCATTTGTCTAATTCCAACCCCCAGATCTTGGGTAAGTCTCTTTAACTTTCTGACTCAGTTTCTTCATCTCTGAAACGGAGGAGATGAGATGAGGAGCTGCGGTAAAGGGCTTACTACTCTGCCCCATGAGCATTCGGGTAGGAGCACAATAAATGGTAATAATCAGTATAATCAAGACGTTGCCTTGCGCGGCTTGCACTCCTTGCTCCCGTCCGTGAGGACCGAGCAGGTTCAGGCGCAGGCTGTGGTCCGCACGGTGTGTGCCTCCCCAGTGCGTCACCCCCCACGCAAATCCGCCCGCTACCGCTGAGTTGGTTTTCTGATTTTACTAGAGGCCGACGGGTTTTTTTCCTACTAAACTGAGTGGGCGCTTCTCTGGCCGTGTGACTTCCCCGCCGCTTCTCCTTCCGCACCCCGCGCAGCCCGGAGGGGAGGGCAGCCGCGTGCGCCCGGCGGTGCGCAAGTTGCGGGCGCCCCGCCCCGTCGAGCTCCCGGGCCCCGCCTCCACCTTCCCCTTGCGCCGTCCCGCTCTCCGATTGGTCGGCGGCGCTCAGCCCCGCCCCGCTCCCTCCGAGGTAATAAAGGCCGGGTTAGCTGCGACTCTGCGCGTGCTGCCGGATCAAGCTAAAGCGCCTTGACTAGTGCCGCCTGCCGCCCCTGCCCCTCTGCCTCTTCACGTTCGCGGAGACCACTGGAGCCCGTCACCATCCTCCCCACGACGTGCTGCCCTGAACCCGCAGCCATGTGCCGGACCCTGGCCGCCTTCCCCACCACCTGCCTGGAGAGGTAAGAGGAGCTTGTCCTTGGATCTTGCCCGCTGCCCGCAGGAAGAAGTCCAAGTCCCCCCCTCCCCCCATCCTTAGGGAGTGGAGCGGCAGGCTTGGGGACCGGGCGGGCGGGAGAATGGGACTCCAGTGACTCGAGCGGAGAGGCAGAGGTCCCCTGGGTTCCACGTTTTCAGATGCTTCCCTTAGAGTCCTAGAGAAGCGACGGGCCGAGAGAAGAGAGAAGTAAGAAGCACGGGAAGCAGAGGAACCCCTGCTTACTGTCATTCCCCATCCTCTGACAAATGGCAGTCCTCAGCGGACCTGCCGAAGACCGGCTGCAGGAAGAGCACATTGGCATCCGGAGGCAGAACTCCCTTTTCTAGTTTCTTCAGCACTTGGTTTTCATTCTACAGCCCAGATCTAGGAGCATGGCCTGCCCCGGGCCCTGAGATGGCAGGGAGGTGTTTTTTTGGGTCCACCAGTGAGGGATGTGCCCACTTCCCAGGGAGCTACTCAACCACCTCTAGTCCTTGCTGGAGCTGGTGGCTGGGAAGGAAAAGGTGAAGAAAGTGAAAGCAGGAAACAATTTACACACAGTTCCAGAAATCTTCAGGATAAGCCTACAGGGTGCTGAACTGCCTTCTGCTAATCAGCAGGCACAAAGATAGATCAGTGTGACTTAAGTGGGAAAAAGCCCATGTGTGCTGTGCTCTAAACTCAGAAAGTGTAAGTCCTACTGAGGAACAGCTGAAACATTACTTTCTGGGCTGTTTCTGGGCTGGTGATGTTAAGAGACAAGCAGAGTTTAAGCCCTGGGAACAGCAGAAGATTCCCAGGAACCCTTGAGGCTGGAATGAGGGTGACAGCAGCCTAAACTCTTCTTCGGGACCCCATAAACCTTTTAGCCCCGGCTGAGCCAATGTAGGATCCTTACGTGTTCCTGCTTTGCCTCTCAGAGCCAAAGAGTTCAAGACACGGCTGGGGATCTTTCTTCACAAATCAGAGCTGGGCTCTGATACTGGGAGTGTTGGCAAGTTCGAGTGGAGCTGCAAACACAGCAAAGAGGGGTGAGTCCTGCTAGCTGGCCTCGGGGCCCTGGAGGGGAGGGAGTGAGATTTAGGAAAAGAGCCATAAGAAAGAAAATACAAGGAGAAATTAGGACATGCTAGGGTGGGCCTCGATGACCCCTTCCTGGAGATTTTAGTGAAGATTCCTGCTGGTCTGCTATGGGTGACTGGGTAGGTGGCTCCAGGGTTCTGAGGCCACCAACAGATGTGTGTGTCCAGGGTCGGAATGTCTAGTTACCAGACTGTCCCCGCTGGAGTTGTCATCGTCTGTGCAACCGGGGCTAGGACAGGTTCTAAGAATACTTGAGGCTTTTCAGTCAATGACTCTTCTTCCATTAGCATGCGCTTTGCCTACAAGCCCTTTCATATTGAACATCAAGGGTGCAAGGTGCTGTTCTAGTCTCTGGGGTTATGGGTAGACTTAATCTCTATTCCTGAGGCCCTGATTTCCGTGGGGGAAGTGTAGAAAACAAAGTTCAGAGTCAGAGGAACAGAAACAATTTTGGACAGTGAAGAGACTGTCTTAGAGTTATTTACTGAGGGCCAGAAGTTTCCTGGCTCTGGTTTCTTATTATTGAACTGTCCTCTAGAAAAATACCTGTAGCCTCAACTAAGAGTTTGAGAAGTCAGCTCCAATAATCACCGAGCAAGTCTTTGTGTGAATTATACAACCTCCATCAGAGTTCTGGCTAGGATTTATGCTGTGCATTAGTGTGTTGGTTGTTTTTTTTAATTAAAATCTTGGCTTTTTTTTTTTTTTTTTTTTTTTTAGCAGAAACGTCTCAGAAGATGTGCTGGAGTGGAAAGAGTCATTTGACTTGCTACTGAGCAGTAGAAGTGAGTAGGACCCTGTTGTGTCTGTCTGTGGATGGTACATGTGTACCCATGTGCTCTGGAGCCAGCCTGAGGGATGCTGAAAAGCATGGGCAAAATAATAGTCGTAGTAATAATAATGATGATCCCCTAGTGTGCCAGGCTCTGTTCAGAATACAAAGGCAGGTCCTTGTTCAAGAAAATTACATCCTAAAAATAGAGCCATTAACTACAATTGCTGGCTGTCTTCTTTTATTCCCCGCTGTCATGATGTCTAACCTGTCTCTCCCTCTCTCTCCTCAACCCCAGATGGAGTGGCCGCCTTCCACGCTTTCCTGAAGACGGAGTTCAGTGAGGAGAACCTGGAGTTCTGGCTGGCCTGTGAGGAGTTCAAGAAGCTCCGGTCAGCTACCAAGCTGGCCTCCCGGGCTCACAAGATCTTTGAGGAATTTATCTGCCGTGAAGCCCCCAAAGAGGTCAGAGCCTCAGCATGTTCCGGGGATCCTGCCGCCCTGCCTGCTCCTTCCCCACTGAGGATTGGGGCTGGGGGCTGTCCAGCAAGGGGAGGGTTGGGTTTAGAGAGTGATCTTCTTTGGCACGGGGCTGGATGGGGATGGGCTTCTGGGGCTGGAGACTAGGAAACCCAGGTGCTCTGCTGCTCCTGGTGCCCTTACCCTCAGTCTCGCTGATGGGGCTAGAGGGCTTGGCAGGTGGTGTGGCTTCTGTCCATACCCACTTTGGCAAGCTAAGGCCTTTTTAGAGGCTCAAAACACACGAGTGTGGAGACAGGGCAACCTGGGGACCTTGTGTGACCCGGTTCAGTCCCCTGGCTGACCTGCCTCAGGCTGGCTGGTCCGTGGGCGGCGGAAGTTTCGCACCTGCCCTCAGGTCTCTGCGGCGGGCCACCAGCGTTTGCTAAAGCGAGTGGGGCCACCTTGTGGAGAGAGCTAGTAATGCCTTGCTTTTGTATCCTACGCTGTATTGTATTTTCTGAGCACTCGAATTTTTTCCTTGTTATTCCATAAAGATTTATTGAGCACCAGTTACATGCAAGGCACGGTTATAGTCATTGGGGACATAGCAGGGACAAAAGGTCTCTGCCCTAATAAGAGAAGATGACAATAACCGATTAAATGAGTAAATACAGGTCAGGGGATGGTGCGTGTTCTGATCCAAGCAGAGCAGGTTTTGAAAGGGAGCACCAGAGTATGGGGTGGGCGGACTTGAAGACTTTTTGCTTTACAAAGGGAAGTGAGGGGTGGGCTGTCGCATAAGGTGACAGATGAACACTTCCCTCCCTTCTAAAAGAAGGGAGGGGAGAACATTCCAACACAGGAAATGGCAAGTGCAAACCCAGCAGCGAGTGGGCCCCAGTGGAGCACGGAGAGTGAGGGAGGCAGACTGGGAGAGGGCGTCGGACCAGTGAGCGGCAGGGCACCAGATGAGGGCCCAGCACGTGCGCGGGCTTTTCCTTTGAGTGACGCGGGAGGACGACCCTGATGCTGGCCAACTGTCGCGAGTTTTCAAAGGCTCACTCTAGTTGCTGGCTGGAGAACAGACCACAGGAGTGAGGGTCGAGGCGAGAGAGCAGTTAGCAGGCTCTGGCACTAACCTGAGGAGAGAGGTGATGGCGAACTGAACCAGGACTGTCCCGAGGCAGGAATGAAAAGGCATTAGCTTTGTATGCTTGATAACTTTGGGAGATTGGAGGGCAGACCCTGGGTCCGATGCGCGGACAGGCCCAGAGTTGAAAACCCAGTGAATGGTCAACTCAGGAGACCCCAGGTTCCTGGTTCAGAATCCTGCCAGTCAGCCCTTCCCGCCCCCCCCCCCCCCCCCCCCCCCCCCCAGCCTGCTGGACCCCTTGCCTGGCCCGCCCTCCCCTCACCCATGTGCTTGCCTTCCTTCCCACAGGTGAACATAGACCACGAGACCAGGGAGCTGACCAGGATGAACCTGCAGGCTGTCACAGCCACATGCTTCGATGTGGCTCAGGGGAAGACTCGCACCCTGATGGAGAAGGACTCCTATCCACGCTTCCTGAAGTCCCCTGCTTACCGGGACCTGGCGGCCCAAGCCTCGGCCACCTCTGCCTCTCCAGCCAGCGGCGGCCCCGCAGAGCCCTTGCACACTTGAGCCTCCTGGCAGTGAGGGAGCCAGCCGGGAGGAGAGGTGGGGTCACCCGTCCCTGGGGCAGATTCTACCAAGCAAGTGCGAGAGGACAGCGAAGGAAGATGCCCATCTGGCAGACTGTTTTGGAAGCCCCCCTCTCCTCCAGATACTGTGGGACTGGATTCCATGCATGAGAGGGTCCCCCCCAACCCCCTTCCAGGGCTGGCACTTAAGGGCCGAAGAGGAGGGTTTGTGTGGGGGATCTCCGGGGAAAGGGAAGGTGGCGAAGGAGTTATCATTGGCTCTTGTTGTTTTCCACGGGGCAAGAAATATTCCGGGGTGGTTTGGGAAACACGGATAAAGGAAACTTGAAAATGAGGCAGAGCAAGACGACCAGATCAGCTCTAATGCCTGGCGAGGAGCTGACTCAGACGGCACCCCGTTCCCCTAGTTCCCAGGCTGTCAGGCCCAGAAGGGAGCTGCGGATGCGGTGCCTTCCCACTCTGTCCTCCTCACCTGCCTCTGGGGCTGCCCGGGGCCCCCTTAGCTTGCACTTCTTCCCATTCCTGTGTCCAGCCTCACAGTCTTCTCAAGGCCAGAGAACCAATTTGACCCTTGCCCAAAATGAGATTTCTTTTTATACCTCAAAAACTGGCCTTTGGAGCCCCTTTCCCACATCAGTAGAGAGCCTGGAAAAGGGGCCATCCTGCTCCTGGGAAATTGATCTTGGTGCTCTTGGTGACCTTTGCAGGCGGTCCCTGAACCTGGGCTGGCAGCAAGGTCCACATGTGGGCAGGGCCCGCAAGGGCCTGTTGCGGGGGTGGGCCCTCCCTCGGCCCCGGGCTGCCCTGGACCGTAGGGCCCATGAGGAGGAAGGTGTGGGGCCTCTCAGTGAGCTCTTACGCTCTGCAGTGTGGAACGAGGGAGAGAAGGATCCTAAGACATCTCTTGGCAGTTCCCAAAAGTTCCGTTGAAATCAAGCCAGTATCTTTTGTGGGTGTGAGAACAGGGAAAAAAGATGCCCAGAATGGAAGGGGAACCTTATGTTTCTTTCCTGTGGATGTGAGGTGCACTTACCGGAGCGGGGGGAGAAGTTGGACCAGGGACCACGATGGCCCTTGGAAGACAGAAGCCGGGGGTGCAGCTGGAGAGAGAGGCTGCTTGGAAGAGCCGGACTGGGGGAAATCAGAACGTGCTGTCACCTCAGGGCAACACCAAACACACATTTTTGTGGTGTGGGACTTCTGCACGAGCCCAGGCCCCGGAGGTGAGTGAACCAGGCGGCCCCCTCCTGCCCTAGGACAAGCAACACTGTTCTCTCTGCACTATGAGCTCCTCCAGGAGAAAATTATTTAAGTATAATGTGTTGTCGGTTTTGTGACCATTGTCACAGCATATTATTTTTATTACTGTTGTGTTGTTGCTCCTGTTATTTATTATTGTAATTTCAGTTTGCCTCTGCTGGAGAATCTCAGCAGGGGCTGGTCGCCTGTCTCCCTCTCCACCAGACTCTACCTCGGAACGTGCTGGGAACCTCTGAGCGCCTGTCAGGGGCTCATCACCGTTTAAATATTTATTTATTGTTGACAATGGAGCTGGTTTCCTAGATAGGAATGATGTACTTTATCCTTGTTTCCCTGTTTCAGCATGTTATATTCTTGTAAAATAAAAATAAAACCCAAATATGAGATCCTGTCTGTAAGGGCTGTGTGGTCTGGCTGAGGGAGGGGAGGGGCCGGGGAAAGACTGGGGGCGGAGCTGGCCCCCCAGAGGTCCCTCCCCACGCGTGGGAGAGCTCTTGGGTCACAGGCAGAGGCCCAAGTGAAAGACCCATGTCTGCCTGGTGACTGGCCGGGTTGATGAGAAGGGGACAGGTGCTAAGGGTGGCCACCTTAGACCAGTTACCAAAGATTGGTAACTTCCTGTAGCCGATGATGGCCCCAACTTGTGTCGGGCTGTTGTGTCGTGTTGATGGGACCCAGTCCACCTGCTGTCATCGGAGAGCCCATGTCCTTCGCCCAGAGCGAACCATTCCCAACTTGGCCTCTCACAACACAAGGGGAGGCTCCCCTTGGTCCAGTAGCCACAGGTGATCAGTTAGATGGTGGCTTTCGGGGCATATTCACTTTTGCCCATTTTTAATTTGCATTAGAATTTCATATAAATTCTAAACATTAGTATTTTGCAAATAATGTCATAGAAGTCTCTGAGATGAGCTATGGGAAGCCACTCTGTACATAAGGCTGCTCCATTCCATGGGCTGAGGGAGCAAGAAGTTTGAGCTGGGCTTGAAAGAATCTGGGGCTAGGTTTGCAAGGATCATATCTGCTCTTCCGTCGCCAATAGCCTTTCTTACCCTACGAATCCCCTCCCCCCCCTTACCACTATTTAAAAATTCCCTTTCTATTGAATTATCTGTTTGTACTCTCTGGTTTATTAACTTGGAGGCGGATGGTATCTAGTTAAAAATGTGGGACAGGGTGAGATCCGGGTCTTCCTACTGCCATCTTCCCAAGTACTTTTCTTGAATTATCTGTTTGTACACAGATCTGGGCCTTCTATTGGCTTTTATTTCTCCCCTATTGTTAGTCCAGTAAGTGTAAGTGACCAGACTCCAGGGATGGCGGGTAGAAAACCCGGTGGATTCACACTCGAAGCCCAGGTCTAAGGGAGTGTTCTGTGGGCAACTCCAGGAGGAATTCAGAATTGAGGGGCCTGAGAAGGAAGATTGGATCAGATGCTGTGGCAGGCCCCGATCTCATGGAGTCCTTCCACCACCCCCGTGAGGTAGGTATGTTAGCCTGTGATTCAGGGGACTGAGGCTCGTGGGGTAAGGAACAGACCCCAGGCAGCTGGCCAGAGAGAGCAGCAGAGATGGAGATGCGAGGGCAGCCCAGTTCTACCATCGGGGGCGCATATCCGGTGTGCAAGAGACGGGTGTGGAGACTGATGAGGGAAGAAGAAAGCTGGGGACCCGGGGAGGCGGGGAGGTATTCACATTGTCCTCTCTTCCTTCGTTTCTTTCCTCCTTTTTTGCCTTTTTACATGCATTCAAATGCATCATGTGTGCCTGGCAGAAAACCAAAAGCAGTAACTGTACTTTCAACAGAAAGTAACCTCACTTATTTAATAGTGGGTGGGGATTCTGAATATGGTTAGACAAGGGCACCAATGTGCGCTTTTTGAAGCAACGTGGGCAGTCAGTAGGAAAAGGCAGGTGTAATCAGTGAGTGATAGAGAAATGAACGGGGACAATGGACATCCAGTGGCGGCGGTGCGTGCTGGTGGGGCCCCACAGTCCAGTGAGACCATCCTCAAGGCTCGTTCCCATCCCACTAACCCCCCCTTCACATAAAAAATGGTCTTGGCTTCCGTTGTGTGGCTGAAGGTGGTAGGTCCACATTAGAGAGGAGAACTGCTCTTTGCTGACCTTTGACATGTCCCAGGTGTCAGGCTCAAAACAGTCCCATGCTGTAACGCTTCGCTGAGAGTTTAAGGGATTTCCTGAAGATCACACTGCTAGCAAGTGGCTCTGATATCTTTGGACTCCCCAGCTCTGCCTCCTCCCCAGAGCACTCTAGGCTTTGGCTCAGCAGGGAAAGCATTTCCTAAATAGCCTGTGACTGGCCTCCCAGGCCTCTCTTGCTACTCTCTCCCCTGTTCCTTGAAAACAGATCTGTCCCAGGTCCCAGATTCGCTGTTACTGTCTCAACTTTCCAACTTTCCTGGACCACCTCCCTGCTCTGTCCCGGGCTCTCCTCACTGCTGCCCTCCACCTCCTTAATCAGCTAGGGAGGCAACTTCCAAGGGCCAACGCAAGGATCTTTCTGGGGAGACTTGCCTGAGACTTTGGGTCTGATTACGGATGCCTCTCCTTCATGTACCACTGCTGCTGATGCTCACCCGAACTGGAGCACTTAGATCCCTGCTTTCCGCCTCTCTGCCCCCCGATGGCAAGCTCCTGGGATTAGGCAGGCCTTTTTCTCCCCAGGGCCTTGCATCTAAGCTTTCAGCAAATGGCTCTTGAGTTAATGATTAGTTTCAAATCCAGCAGGAGGAAAGTTCAGATTACAACTATGTCCTGCAGTGTCTTCACACATAACACATTTGAAACCAGGGTCATCATTGTCCCCAACAGATACGCACCGCCTTCCGTTTCTCTGACCTTGATACACAGAGGCACTGGCCACCCAAGTTCAGGCTTCTCCATCTCTTCCACATGTCATCTCATCCAGTCTTGGAAATGGGTTGAGTCCAGCTTCTCCTCCCCAGGCTCACCGAGACTTCTTTAGAAGCGCCTTTCACCCTCTCCGGTCTGAGCTATAAAGACAGCTTTCCACCTGGTCTCCCTCTCCTGGCCTCTCCCACTCATTGCCCACGCTGCCCGTCTTCATCCCTAAAGCACAGATCTGAGCAGGTCGTGGCTGCACTCAAACCCCTTTGATGGCTCCCCTTTGACTCCCAAGAGAAAGTCCAGATCTGACCATGGCATCTGAGGCTCACTCTGAGCTGACCCAAGTCCCTCTCCTGAGCTGTCTCCTGCCCAGATGGCCTCTAGGCACACGCTGTTCTCTCTGCTTGCAATGGCCTCTTCCTCTTCTTCTTTTTTAACTAGGGGGTGGTGGGGAGGGGAATGCCCTCCTCTAAACCCAGCAAAAGCATCACCTCCTCCGTGAAGGCTTCCCAGATGTCTACTGCGCAGAGTTAATCTCTCCCATGTCCGTGATTCTAGGACACACTCTTTTGACTTTGCCGTCCACACTGCAGGGCGGACCTCACACGTTTTCCTTCCCCTACACTGGTCTCTTCGCGGCCAGAAGCCATATTATCTACCTTGATAAGATGGCACCGAACAGACTGCAGCAAAGCTGTTCACAGCCCTGGCCGCGGAATCAAAATATTTGGGTTGGAATCCTGGCTCATTCTCTGTATGACTTGGGAAGTTATTAGGGTCGTTCGCTCATCAGTAAAATGAAGATAGGAGAGCGAACACCTCAGAGGAGACATTGAACAAAATAAGTGTTTGGCACAATGTTATTGTCCCATGAATATTAGTTACTATTATTATTATTATTATCTGATTCCTAGTACTTAGGACAGTGCCTTGTACAC